TCACGTGTATACAAAGTAATTAAATTTTAAAATTTACCAATTGGGGTGATGCATAACATTTGGGAGCCACTGTAAATATACAGTTATCCACCATTCATCAAAGTACTGTCTGTATATATATATTCGCATAAAAATAGCGAAAACAATTCCAGTTATGAAAATACAAATCAGAATTTAACGACATTGTGTTTTAAATACATCTTTCTAAAAATCAACAAATCCACTATATCCCATTGAATTAATCGAAAACTTAGGTATAAATAACATTTAGATATTTTTTTTTTTCGTATTTATAGCTTAATTTTTAATGCTGTTTATTTTCATTATGTTGCGGATAAACAATCGTTCTGTAGAGAAATAAAAAGCCAAATCAGATATAAGAAATATTTTAAACGTTCATTGATATTTTGGGCATTTGTGTTCATATCTTGCAAAAGTATATCATATATATTTAAGGATTTGCTTCCTTTTTTTTCTTTTTAATCTCAAATCGAGTAAAAAAAGATAATGTCTTCATAATCAAAAAGAACTCAAACAAATTTTTTATTTTTTTCAAGAAAAAAATTTTCTTCAATTTAAATCTTGTTCGGAAATTTAATGTTTCATGTGATAAGTTCATTAAAATATTTGTTAATGTTTACAAATTGACAAAATTGAATACTCGACTGAAAAAAATGAAAAAAAGAAATATCGGGAATAATAAAACTATAACTAACAAATTAACCAACTTCAATTTTGAAAGGGATCTATATACCAATCCAGAGCACTTTCTCCGTAGAGCTCTTGATCCCAACTTGACTCGCTCTCGGAATTATCCAAAATGGCGTCTAGACCTGTGGTTGTGGTATAAGATTGCTTCGACAAATCCACAACATTTTCTATTGTCAACGGGCTCATGTTGTGGGCTATTTTGTCGAATTCTATTAATTTCCCTATTAACGTCCAGAGCCAATGTCTGGTACGCTTCTTTGACATCAAGTGGCTCGTTTTGCCCGTGCATTGAGGTAATTGGGAACCTTGAGTCATCTGCAGACGATGATTCAATTGCAATGCTTAAACAATTCTTTACGCTCAGGATACCGTCATTGAAGTAAATTTTTGCGTCTTCCAACATTTGGGCGCTTTACAGAGAAAGGGAAGAATCGGTCAGGTTTTTTGAGGCAAAAGTAGTTTAAAAGATGAAGTGTTTGGGATACTTTTTTTTTTTTTTTCAAATATAGGGGGTTGTTTTTTTTGGCAATGTGAAATTTCAAAAAAATATTTTTACTTTATATGTTAAAATATGATTTTTTTAATAAAATCGAAAAAAAAAGTTTCTCTTTATATACTGCAAAAACGCTCATTCATTTGTTTATTGTGAAATGAAATACAGAAATTACATCGAATAATATTAAGGTTTCATCTAAAATGAATAAATCCTAATCCGTTAGTTAAATGACAAAATTCTGTTATCTAGTACCCGCATCTTCGTAAATATAATGAAAAATTTTTTTATATTGTTCTCAGATATACATGTTTCCGGATAATATTACCATTTTTGTCGTTGTGTATTTAAAATTCATGCATACAAAAAATTGATCCTGTTCCATGAAATCATTCCATTAACTGATTGATACAAACAAGATTATCTAAATAACGATACACAAAGTGCAATGGCGTTTGTAATACCTAAATGTGAAATTTTTTCATTTACAACAGAAGGACTTTGACTTTTTTTTTGTCGAAATAAAATTCTGGGACCGTTGGACAAAGACTCTGGGACATTAATATATTATATTAAGAAAATTAAATAATTTTATCCGGGGGGATATTAGTATCCTCCCAATTAGTCACGTGAATTCCACAATCGGAAATTTATATTGTATTTATTTCTTAATTGGTTGATGATCGTGATCTTCATTCAATAGACTTTCGGTCTCTATTTTGTGTAGGATCCAGCTTTTTTAGGCCCAAATTTTCCACTGTGTCTAATCTATATGTTTTTCTTGACCCAATACTAATTGAATAGAATACTGCTTTAAACATTGTTCAAGAACTTCAAAAGAAGTGACTATCTTCATATTTTTCATCAAAATCGCTGCTCACATAAAATTATAAAGTTATAAAAATTTTTGTGATTCCTGCAGACGCTAAGTGATCAATTTTGGCTTTACCAAAATTGATATTATCATGCTACACAACTAGTAGCCTATTTAACATAACCCATTCCCTACCTTAACCTAACTCTAACTAATCCAAATAACCAACTAATCCTAAAGTAACCCAAACTAATCATAAACTAACCTAACCTCTAATTTTAACTTCATAAAACAAAATTCTTACCATTTAAAAAAAGAAAAATTAAAAGAGTATAAGTATGTTTGAAAAGATATTAAAATTTTTGTCAAAAAGAAGTGAAAAAAGAATAAGAGTTTCATAAGAAAAGAATAAATTAAATTATTTAGACATCATGTCATATGTCATAATACATGATAATAATAAATAGGGATATTAATATTCTCTGGTATAATATGCATATTTTCTTATATTAAAAAATTAGTTATTATAATTTTTTATTATAATTCAACTAGCTAATATTGGATTTTCTGAAGCTCATGATATGCATACTATACATATTATCCTTATGAATCATGATTTGTGATCTGTTATATCTGTTAATTAGTGATTAAATGTTATCAAATATAATATTCTATTATTTCTTTTTATAAAGTTGTTTATTATCTTAGAAGACAAAGTGAGAAAACAAATATTTTAATATTAATATAATAGATTTTCAAGTGATTAAAAATTAATCATATTTCTTTTGTATATAAGTCATTTCATAATAAATAATTAAGGATATTTTATGTTTTGATTGTTTACATCTTATCATATCACATAGATGATTATCTACTTAAATGTTACTATATATTTCATGCTTATTTATTAGGTTAAAATCTGATATGTAATGAATTATATTGAGAATATATATATGATATATAAAATAAAAAAAATAAAATTAACAAATAAAATGCTATTGTCAAAATCTAATATATATATAATTGACTGATTCATAAGACATTCATAATTTTTATAGGTTAATTAGTCTTTCATAATGTTTCTTTTAAGATCAAATGAGGTTGAGATTTAATAAATTGATTTTTTAGAAAATGGTTATTTTAAAATAAATGCTTTGTAAGCATTATTCTTTAAGAAAATATTGTTAAAATCATTTTTTTTAAAAAAAACATTGCTAAAATCATTTAACTTTGAGAAATCATTGTTAAGAGTATTTTTTTAAAGTTAATAATCCTGGATTACTAAAAACTCATTACATCAAATCAAGTAATACAGAACTAATTTTTTATAATTAATTATATTGGATATACTGAAAGTATATAGTACAATACTATATATCACATTTAAACTAATATTGATTAAACTAAATATATTTAAAATATCAAATGATTATATGACTTAAATTAATATAAGATTATCATGATATAAATAATTGTTTTTTATCAGAATATAGAAATTTGTTATTAAAAAAGCTTAAAATATTATGTCAAGAAAAAAAATAATAGTATAGTATTATTATACAAATTTTAAATAATATATATCACATAAATTTATAATATAATAGTTGTAAATTTAATAATACATATATTGTAGCTAATTCTAGCAGATAGTTAAAATTTGCTAAATCTGCTGATCTTAGCAATATGTCAATCTATCAGATATATTAAATATATCATATTATGAACGAATAAAATATGATAGGATCTATATAATGCAAATGATTGACAAATCTGACAAATCTAACATATCTAACATTTCTGACATGTCTGACATATATGATATATCTGATTATATTAGATAAATTCGACATATTAGACATATCAGACATATTTGACATATACGATATATATGATATATTAGTTATATCTTTCTATATACTGTATTTTATATAAATAGATAGCTTTTTAGATCATGTAAAAAGTAGGAT